TTTTTTGTTGTGGTTTTTTTTTTTTTTTCCCCCACCCCAAAGATGAACTTGCTGTCAGCTGCACAGGTAAACCCCACAAAGCTTTCCCATGTAGGCCATGGATGAAACATTATAGAATGTGACAGAGTATTATGCATCTGTCTCTCCTTTTAAATGGCTTATTAGCCAATAAGATAATGTTTATAGGATGCAGAGTCATGTAAAGCTCAGTAAACTAAGTGATGTTTGCTTGTTCTTTTAAAATCTGTGGCTTTTTGGGAGAGGTGGTGTTTGTTTTGGGAAGGGAAGTAGGGACGAAGTGGCATACAGCTGGAAGCAATGGCCTTGCTTACACTTATATCCGACGCTGATCTATCTTTCTTTCTCTCCCTCTTCTCCCTCCTGTAGCGCTTGCAGCAAAAACATGTTTGTGATCCTGTGCGACTGGCCTCTGCCTTTCAAAACGGGAGGCCGCTCTGAATTTGAAATATTTTTACCAACCTTCTTCGTGAATAACTGCCGCCTTTTCTTTTTCTAACCCCGCATACGCAATGGAACAGCTGCCTGTCCTTTTACCTTCTCAGATAAAGGGCCTCGCAGCAGCAGACCGTGATCACCTGGTGGTCACCAAAACGAGTCGCCTGGTGCCTTGCTCGGCGCTAAGGTAGTTCGTTGCCACCGCCTGCAAAGGCAACAGCATGTAGGAACGATTATCTAGCGTCAGAAGCGAAGGTGATAGAAAGAGATGTTGTGCCACTGATCCAGCTCCTGGGGAAAAAAGCCACCATTTCCTGGGGCGTTACACAGTAGTTTAGGGAAATCTTATGTAAATGAAACTGGTTGGTTTTCGTTTCTCTACTCTCCCAACCTGATCCACCCCCAGCCAGTGGTAAGTTACAGTGAAGTCACAGATTTTTATGTATGTATATTTTTTTAGGTAGTAAAGATTGACTTAATTTCTTTTTTCCTCCCTCTAGTTAATTATAATTGGGGCACTTGCATACAAAAAAAGAAAGTTATTTTTTGTATTGGGTTGTCTGAACTAATTTTTTACTTATGTGGATATCATTGTGTGATTTCCCTTTCCCTCCCAAATCAATTTCTTCTATCTTGAGAGGAGAATAAAGCACCAATTTACTTGATTTGCATCAGCTTCCTTTGAAAATTTGTAAAATGGGTAATTTGTAAAATTTGTAAAAATGCCCATTCTCTCCTCCTGTTACCTTTACTTTTAGTGGAATTCCTGAACAAAACTACTGCTACCACATCCATTGCTGTTAGCTTGAACAAGGAAGATGCAGCCTGGAACAGAGAGAATTGAGAAGTCTTAAATATATTTAAAAAAAATATAATTACAAACTGATCCCTAGTACAATAAGATAACATTCATGATGCAGTGCTGTAGCATAAGTGTTTTATTTCCACTTCCTTTCTGTGTGTGGTGGAGCACATTTAGATTTAATTCTTCCTCTAGGCTCTCTTGGTTTGTGCTTTACTCCCTGTGAAAAGAATGCCTTTGATATTACCATTTAAAATATGCTTTCATATTTCTGTGGGATACTTTCTCACCCTTCGTACTTTCTAGCTTACGTGATAAACAGCGGTCTTGTCCAAGTTGCCACCGATGCAAAGACAGCTATAGAGCTCTCTCATGGTGTAAGCCTTTTCTTTTCTGCTACAGTATGCTTAACGACAAAGTTTGTAAGATTCTGATCACCTATAATTGCAATGCAGCTGTGGTTCAGACCTTAAATCCTGATGTACGCTTGCAGGAGGGTGTGCAAGCCTTGGGGCTGGTTGTTCACCGGGTATTAAACAGGTCTTCCATATGCTGTTGGGAAAAGCTTTACAGGGCGCATCTCTTGCTGCCAGTAAATCAGTAGTTAGCAGGACAAGCGTTATTCTGAGTGGTATTTCAATGCTTGCATTATGAGCTGATGTCTATTCGCTTTGCCAGCCCAAATTCCAGCCCAGGTCTTCACGTAATGCAAATCAGATTATTGAAATCCGGGGTATGCTGATCTGGAACAGCCTGTCAAGATGTACTCAAGGATCTAATCTTAACTCCAAAGTTAGTTTAAAATAGTACCATTGTTCCTCTCCTGTAATGCCTCATTCTCATTTTCCTCCTGAATTAATAGTCAAGCTAACTAGACTCTTACCTAGGTAACTCTGACAAAAGTATTATGAGGGGCTGTACTGCCCAGGTGATTAGACAGCTCTGCAAAGTTAAGCAATTTAATTTTTTTTCTTAACTGCTGCCTCCCTTGTTTTGCAGATCTAATAATACAATGTCAACTGGAAGGGTACGAACGAAAAAAAAGGCATGTTCTTCAGACCAGTCTCCAGACAACCTTCCTCTGAGGAGTTCTGGAAGACAGGTATTTATAATTATTTAAAAGTGCATGGGCTCATACTCTGGTATTTTTTATTTTCTGTTGACATTTGTAAAGAAAGCGGGCTTCATTGTGGATAAGTTAGGCCTTGGAGTACTTATCCAGAGAGGGAGAATTAGTTCGTTCTGTGAATAAGTACACAAAGGGTCTTATTTGTGAACAATATTCAGAAAAGATAAATGCTCACTATGACCTTGTAAACACTCGATGTGTTAAAAATACACTCCCAGATTTCTGTACAGCAAGACAGAGCTGTCTGCCCATCCAGACGGAGGCCTAAACCAACATGATATTCAGTACCTTTGAGGCCCAGAAGAGACATTTGGTATGCAGCATTGTATCTGGAGTCCAAAAAAAGCCCCAGCCTACTTTAATATTTTATTTGTGGAGCAGATAAGATTGCCACTAATTAATAAGTATATGAAGAAAAGATTTTTCTAAAGAAGAAATAGAATGAACGCATGAGCTTGACTCATTAGCATGTGATGGAGCTTAAAATATGATTTAAACTGGAAGCTTTGCTTGTAGTTTCTTCAATGGCATCAGTTAGACTAAGGCAAGACATTTTTAGCTTTAAATGATATTTCCAGCCTTACTGGGTTGTTGGTTTTTTTTTTCTAGAAAAACTGACCTACTTTGGCAGCTGTTTCATGCTGCAGCTATTTCACAATGGATACAAAAATTTTCATTGGTACCATTTTAACTATTTGATGCTACCCACGAGCTGCAAAACTGCCTGAATGCCATTTTGTAGAAGATGTATTTGTGTCATTTCTGGTCAGATTTCAGCTGTTCTTTATTAGGTGAAGAAGAAAGCAGCTGAAGCAGCAGATGATGATGATGAAGCGTCAGAGAAGAAATATAGGAAGTGTGAAAAAGCTGGATGCACTGCAACCTGTCCTGTTTGCTTTGCCAGTGCAGCTGAAAGGTTTGTCTCTTTATTTTATTTTATTTGCATTTTCCATGGACTTTTCTAAACTTGCAGCTGAAGTTTAGGATCCAAACTACATTCTGAGAAATCTCTTAGTTTCTAAATGTAGAGGGAGAATCAGAAGGTACTAATATGAGTCTTAAGATGCCAGGAAAGTGTCACAAGTTATTCCTGTTGTGGGCAACTTTCTACTGTGCAAGTTGCTAATTCAGACATAGAATATCCTTAGAATACGCTTATCGGTGTTATTAACGGTGTCTTCTGGAACACGCCTTGCTTCTGTGAAACCGAGAGCATGTTACTGTCACCTGAGGAAGCTAAACTTGCTTTCAAGATGGAAAATGAAACCGTCATTTACTGCAGAAAGTCTTTATCACTGTGCCGTTGGACGCTTTGCAGTCTGGGGGGAGATTCTGACCTTGCAATTTTAGGTCTTGGGAGACAGCCGTACTTATGGGAACTCTTTGCTCTCGAGTTGTTTGTGGCTTTCTGTGCACTTGCGTGAGGCCTTTTGCGTGCTGACCCTGGCGGCACTGAACACGTGGTACTGGCAAGGCGGCTCTATGATAAGCAACACGTTAGACCTCGTTCTGCAGCAGTCAGACAGTAATTATGTAGCATTCCTCCCTCCCTGGTTAATTGAGACAAACTTTCCTCGTTTTCTTTCTTTTCCAGTGACATAAAATAATTCAGTGCTTCATTCTGTTATCTATGTGGGTTGTTCTTTGGTGGGAGGAGGTCAGTGTATTCTGGATGTTGGCATAGGAAAGCCGAGTGTTTCGGCAGTTGCTTGTAGGGGGAATGAGCACCTGAGAGATCAGCATTGGTGATACTATCATTTTTCTTCAGGAAACCATAGATACTGCTTAGTCATCTTTTTGAATTGTTATTTTAATGTTTTGGTTTCCACCTCTCCCACCCCCTCAAGTACATACTTCCAACATTATTTATTTGAGATGAGATCATTTCATGGCTAGCTACTTCAGTTAGTAGCTTAGGTCACTGCTTTTTACCTCGTGCATTTACCTCAAACCATTTCATTGAGTTTAATGAGTTTCCTAAGTGGCGAGCGATTGCTTTGCCTGATGAATCTAATCTTTGTGAATGGGTATTTCTTTCTGAGAGTAATAAAGAATAAATTGCCCAGAATGTGTAACTGCTTCCTCGGGGTTTTCTCTCATTGGGTTAAAGTCGCAGCCAACTGGGTCACGTGAAAAAAAATCAGGCAACATCCATTTTGTGTTCAGATTTGCTTTTAATGTTTCATCAGTTGTTCTGGGGCCAGAATGTTGTAAGGATTTATGAATCAATTGATGATACGTACAAGAAAAATAGTAATTTCAATGATCCCTCCCACCCCTGCACTAATACCAGAACGGAATGGAACAAAGTAAAGGAACTGTAGGTTCCTGCGGAGAGGGACTTTATCTTCTTACATGTTTGCAAAACGCTTAGTGTGTCACAGCACGTACTGTAAGAACAAACGTGTTTCACGTCCAGGAAACATCTGCCTAAAGGGTACTAAAGACGGGCTCAGTTGACCATCGTTAGTGGGAGATTGCTGCAAGCCAGACCAACCGTAGAACTGCATGTTGTGTACACTTTGCCTCCTTGACCTCTGGCGTTGCTTAGTTTGGAAACTGGAAACATTTGAGACGATTGAAATGATCGTATTGTTATTTGTAGGACTGTAGTGCCTTCTGCAAGTTAGCCTCTGTGAATGTAACTTAAAGCCTTGGCCTGGCCTGAATATTTTGTTCATGTTCTAAAACGTGCTACTGTCAATAGAAAAACCTTTTGTAAATGTGTCTTTAAAACTATTTCTGTGTCTCCTGCATTACAGATGTGCTAAAAATGGGTATACGTCTAGATGGTATCACCTCTCCTGTGGGGAACACTTCTGCAATGAATGTTTTGACCACTATTACCGAAGGTAGATTTGCCAATTAAGGTTGTGCTTTTTCAGTGCTTATTAAAATGTGGCAGATGTTACAACTTGAAATATCATGTGCATAAACTTAATACAAAGACTTGTCCTTTGTGCTTGCTTTATTCACAGTGAGGCTTAGGTATTGGTGCTAAAACTGAAGGTGTGGTACGGACTAATCGTCAAACAGCAGCGTGAACAAAACTGGTTACTTTAGGCAGGCTGGTTTGTGTGTATAGCTACTCTTTTGTCTTTTTTTTAAAAACAACATCAGAGAATGTTAAATGATGAGAACAGTTCTGAGTAAATCTCTCTTCCCTTATAAAGCAAATCCACTTCACAGTGTGAGTTCAGAAGACCTTGCCTCTATGTAACATCAGATCAGTGAGCAGATTTAACTCTTACGGTTCAGTGACCATGAAGATTCATAGAGTGCTTTCAGCTCCAACCTCTTCCTTATCTGAGTGGGAGTTGAGTACAGCTCTGCTAAGACTTTTGAGTGCTTACGTGCTCAGCAGTACCTGTGACTCAGTTCAGGCCTTAGATACCAGGAAATGTGTTCATGATCAAGAGGACACAGTGGTCAGGATGCGATTTATTGCTATTGTAAGAACCACGACTTTCTCCTTTTTTAATAGGAAAAACAGGACTCTCTAGAGCCTTCTTTCTCTGTCCTCATATAAAATGCTTAATTTTAGAATAGCTGCTGCTGTTTGAAATGAGCTAGGTATTAAATTCTCTGACCGCTTGCTGTTTTCTTTTCTCTTTCTTCTTAGCCATAAAGATGGTTATGAGAAATATACTGCCTGGAAGAGGATTTGGACGAGTAATGGTAAAAGTGAGCCCAGTCCAAAAGCCTTCATGGCTGATCAACAGCTTCCTTACTGGGTAAGATGGAGGGTGATTTATTTAATAGGGTTTATTTCAATGTGATGTTCTGATGCGAGTTCCCGATATCGTACGTTCAAGCAGCAGGTCAGCTGAGTTTTTGTAGGGGTTTTCTAGTATTAGAGGACTGTGGAAAAGCTCAAGAGAGTAATTCTGATCAGCTCCTCCATTGTTGGAGACGTTCTCACCACCCCACAAAGAACAACCTTCTGTTGCTTTTCCGTGAAGTAACAGCTAAGGTGTGTGATGTTCAGGTAGACTAAAACTTGGCAGGGAGAAGGGAGCGTGCCAGCTGTAGCAAAGCACAAGCATGAAAGACTTCTAAACCAGATTTTTGTATTTCCTTGGTAAAGAGAGCAGAAGACAACTGGAATGGAGGGAAGTTTGAAGGTGGTGGCGGGTTTTTTGTTGGTTTTGGAGCAGTGAACAATGTAGTTTTGCAGTAATACTTGCAAAATCCACTGAAGACCATAGTGGGTGTTGAATTAATTTTGGAGTTATGTTCTGTGGAGAAATTTCAGTCTTACAGGAGACGGGCACAAGGTTTCTGTATACCAGATGACTTGCTGATGACCAGAGGATTACGTGAGAACGAATGTAACTATTGTATTTGACAACTTCCTCGTATCTCCCTGCTTTCTAATTAGTTAGTTATGCTTCATAAATCTTGTCTGCAATCAGACAGCAGCAAGTAAAAACATGTTTGTTTTTTGACTTGTAGGTGCAGTGCACAAAGCCAGACTGTGGTAAATGGCGTCAGCTGACAAAGGAAATCCAGCTGACACCACAAATAGCAAAAACCTACAGATGTGGTATGAAACTGAACAATTCCACCAAGGTAACACAGAAGAGTTTTGCTCATATTGAAACTAACAGGTTGATATTTCTTGTTTGCAGACATTAATTTCTTTTTGTTTGCTGCTTAATGTTTCTAATGTCAAAATGATTGGCTGATGGCCTGGAGAGCTGCCATCGGGTGACAGGCCTGCACGCTGTTTGCACTTCTGCTTCCCAAGCGGAAATGTCAAGAAAGAAGAAGCTGGAATATCTTTGTCTGCCCAGCCAACTGTAAAATCCTTCATTCTGAAGCTACGGGAAGATTATCAGCATGTACAAACTAAACAAACTGTTTATTTTGTTCGGCCATACTTCGTTATTGAGGAAAGCATCTGAAAAGCTCAATGAGCTTTTACTAATTTCTAGCAAGTTTGTCATAGGGCTTTACATGAAAACTTTCAGCTTTGGCATGAAGATAGCTCCTGAAATTTGTAAGAGTCCTTATAGTGCCATAGAATCTATATAGTTAAGAACATAACGTGAAAATACTGACCATATAAAGATCAGAAGGGTGAGCATTTAATCTTGAAACTTGGTAATAACGATACTCTTAAAATAAATGAGAAACTTTTTTTTGGAAGAGTCTTTCTGGAAAATGTGGGATATTTCTAGAATTTTTCTATAAAAATACCTTTTTTTTTAAATTTTTGTTTTGTTTCAGTGTTCCACTCCGTTTCACAGAATAGAATGTATATTTTAATGTCTGATCAGTAGAAACTACCTTAACAAATGAGAAACATTTTCTGGGGTGTTTTTGCTTTATGGCGTGTTGTGTTTTTAACTACGCATTTCTCTACTGTTTATTTTTACTGGCGTTATCATCTCCGCTACAGAAGGCTAACACTAACACAGTTCTGATTTGGTTTTTAAGTTTAAAGAACTGTGCCATAGACAAGTTACTTTGGTTTATATTTAACTTTTGTTCTACACCTTAAGAATAGCTCTGATACCATTTACTTTTCTTTCAGGCTGAGGGCTCAGACCAGTGTTCCATGCCTGAGGACTTGGTGAGTAGTGGCTGTTCCTCCTCATTTGTCTAGAGTATGAAAGCACTCTTAAAGCACGGCGTATTTCCTTCCTTTTCCTGGTCCTTTGACCAATTATGGTGGTATTTAAGCATTTTGCTCAGGAAACTGTCAGACACTATTTGCAACAGAGCCTAGGGCATTCTGCTTTCTCATCTTTTTCCTCTCTTACCATACCAATTAGCTTTCAGGTGGTTCGTGGTGTCTTTGAGTTGTGGCCTGTGATTCCTGGTTTACTCCTAATACTAATTTTTGATCAGTCAAAACAGTATTCAGTTGCCAGCTTTCAAATAAAATTCCACATCCTAAAATTTCCCTGTCTTTCAGATGGTTTCTATCTTTAGTCAAGCTAGTCTCCTCTTTTTGAAGACTGAGAGAAGCTCAAAACGTGTTTTCTCTCTCCTCTCCCTCATAATACAAAACAAGATGTGATGTATGTTGGTGTTTCAATGGGTTTGTGATCACGGAACCTTGCATTTCAGATTTAGTGTGATCTGATGTTCAATAAGCCAATGTTGACAAGAGCACCTGAGGTACCTCTGTCCCAGGAAATGTGTTCAAGCTTATTGCTGACTCTCGTAGAAGCTTTGTGATTTGTTTCCTTAATGCACGTTTGATTTGTAAATTAAGGCTGAATTATTAGAGTTTGTTAGGGTTTTAGAAGGTCTTTGACGGGGCTAGCAGAATCTAAACTAAATGGATCAGTTAGTGCAGTCTTTTCTAAGTTCAGACTTCTGGAGGCATAAATGACTGTAAATGTCTTATAAAGGGCCTGATAAGGCATAGATGTGTTGTCATGGCATGTCTCAACTGTTTGCTTTCCACGTGGGTGTGGAGTTTGTGAAGTTTCAGCTCCATTTCTGAGGAAGAGATTAAAGCTACAGGTTTTCTGTGTCAGGCTGAGGAAGGGGAAAGAGGGGGAGAAAATGTCTTTATGACTTGTTGTTCTGAGATTGGTACTTCTAGTGCTTTTTGGTCTCAGTTTTGGAGGGAGGGGGGGAACTGGTTCATTTTCCAACGTTTTCAAAGTACTGACGTGTTCTCTTCTCCCCTCTTTCCTTCACTTCTCCGCTTGGCCAGAGAGTGGCTGAAGTTTCAGACCATTGGTGGTACTCCATGCTCATACTCCCTCCTTTGCTGAAAGACAGTGTGGCAGCTCCCTTTCTAGCTGCATATTATCCAGACTGCGTGGGCATGAGTCCATCCTGTACCAGCACTAATCGGTTACCTGGTGAATCCAACCTTGTGAAGTTAGAGCACTTAAAGAGCGTGCCTAATTTGACTGGTAAGGGCCATCTGCAGGGCTCTGTTGCTTAAATAGGTGTGATAAAGTTTGTCTTATAACTGAGGTTATAAGGCACATAATGCTCCTGATTCAGAAATACTGGTTCTGTTCTCAGCATTAATACGCACTCTCTGTGGGACTGCCTCTGTACTTCTTTGATGCCATTTACTCGTTTGTAAGATAAAGGTAATACATTTCGCATGGCATTTCTTTAAGGAGTAAGCACAGACTGCAAAGGCTTTTTGTTTACCACCTGACACTTGGTTATAGAAATGGGAATTTAACATGCGGGTACTTAAAGATTGTTTGCATTCGTAAGGAAATGAAGATTTATCAAAACAGAACATGATTCTGCTAGTTTTGATAGTGTTGGATCTTTGGAGAAGAGGATTTAATTTCTGAAGGCACTCAGATTCTGTTTAGGTTAATTTTTTTTTGCTAATGACAGCTCTGAGACTGACAGCCTGGGAGTATGGATCTGCAGAATAGGTCGGGTATGGAGAAAGGTAATTCAGGATTCCCATACTCGTCTCAGAGAGCGTGCTTTGGGAAGGTTCAGCTTCTGTGTTGTCTTAGCAGGCTTTGCTCTCCTTAGGTGCTTAAGATAAATCTGTTCATCTATTCAACAGATATTTATCTGCTTAACAAACAGAAAACTTCATTACACAGAGCTACCGGTATGACACGTGGAAGATGATTACTTTTAGGTACTGCTCGCTCTGGGCAGTATTGGGAGTTGAAGATGACAGAGGTTCAGAGCACTGCGTGAGCCTGTACAGTGAAGCGAGACCTCAGAACTGAGTTTAGCTCCTGTTCCTTGGTGGACTCGTCATGGCATCCGCGGGGACGTACTGTTTCTCTGACAAAACTAAAGCCCTCATAGGTCCAAGACATAGCCATCAGATAGCAGGACAGTAATACTGCACAGCCTAGAGGGTAGGAGAGGGAGAGCAATATAAACGAAATCATTCTGAAGATGGCCAGAGGCTGGAAAGCTTCGTTGTTTATCTGTGTGACGTCAGTGGATCATCTTAAAGGGAGAAGGGTGTGATGAAGATACAATGGAATATGACTAGTTCTTGGTGTCTCTTTATTCAGTTGCAGGCATGAACAAGTATTTCCAGCCTTTTTACCAGCCCAATGAATGTGGGAAAGCACTTTGTGTGAGGCCAGATGTCATGGAACTGGATGAGCTCTATGAGTTCCCAGAATATTCACGAGACCCTACCATGTACTTGGCTTTGAGAAACCTGATATTGGCTCTGTGGTACACAAACTGCAAGGTAAGAGATGCTAATAGCTAATTTGTTTGTTTACAAATAATAGCTACTTTTTTGGGGGATGTGGACTTTCTTCTTGGGGATAGGACTCTCTTCTTAACACGTCTCCTTATGCACTAGAAAAATTGCTCCCATCCTTTTGAAAATCCATTCTAAAATTGGCTGGGTTTGGTTTATATCCTTTTTGTTTGGGGTTGGGTTTTTTTGAGTTTCAATGCCTAGGAGCTCCTTTTGCAGTAAAATACAAAAGTTTAAAAAGTATTAAAAGTCTACTGAGTCTGCGCAGCTATTCACTTTTAAAGGGATGCGTGAACATTTCCAAACAGTGTTTGTGGGTGCTTTACGATTATTTATACGTGTGTATATGTGTGTGTGTGTGTGTGTGTATATATATGTGTGTGTGTGTGTATATATATATGCCTGTTGGGTGGGGAAGTGATTGTCTTTTTATTTATGCTAACTCTGTGACGCTGCCTTCAGTGGAATCACTGTATTTCACATACTGAAGCTTTCAAATACTGGTGTCTGTATTTATGTGAAGGTTTTGGATATGAATCTATTTTTTATTTGGAATGCCATTTTGGAATGGATTTTACTGGAATGTCATTGTGAGCATTGCCACCCAGTAGACTCTTTTTGCAATCAGGGCTGCATTTTGGTACCGTTCCTGTACAAATGGAGCACACGATGGAGTTTGGAGTATCTTCTAGACTCATTTGCTTTTATTCCATGTTAATCTGGCTTAATACATTGTTACCTTACTGTGTAAGGCTGGCTAGTAAGAAACTTCCCCAAAACTTTCTTTTAAAATGTTCTCGGAAGCCTGATTCATGATTAATTTTTACCAGCTGGTTTATAGTCTAAATATGAAAAAGATGACTGTTAGAAAACCAACACTTTCTATTCTTTTTCTCCTTTGCAGGAGGCTCTTACCCCTCACAAATGTATCCATCACATCATTGTTCGGGGGCTTGTGCGTATTCGCTGTGTACAGGAAATGGAGAGGATACTTTATTTTATGACAAGGAAAGGGCTAATTAATACGGGGATTTTATCAGTCAGTCCTGACCAGTATCTTCTTCCTAAAGAATACCACAATGTAAGTTGCTGTAATAATCCCTACGTTGTTAGTGCTATAAAACTACACACATATCAGATTTTTTGGGGTTTGTATTTTTTCCTCATTACCTGTCATTCCAACTGTTTATGTAAAAAATTACATCTAAAAGCACACATGTGGCATGTTTTTCACCTGGTTCTCATCTGCCTTCAATGGTTATGGAAACTACAGACATGGGACTCGTTCCCACTAAAATCTCTGGAATTCAGTCCTATGGATTTGTGCTTCCTGTGAGCTTTTCAGGTGGATAGGAAATGGTGAAAAATATACAGTACACTTTGGTTCTTATGGCTTAACCTTGTAATACACCTCTGCTTCCATAGGTGAGGAAACTCCTGTTCTGTATTGGTTCGCAAGAACTATGATTAAAGGGGACATACTTAGGATTAGCAATTGTGCCAGCACGCAGAAACTTATCAAATTAATGTATTCTGTAATGGAGTATCTCCTAGAAATCTCAAGTTGATTTATGTTTGGCAAGTGTATCTGTGTATGTTTTTAGTTTATAAAATAGTTTTTACTGGTCAACCCAACCTGTGATTGAAATCATTACAAGATAAGTGTGTTTTCTGTCTGGTAACTTCAGCTGTTTCCATAAAAAGAAACAGAGTAATCTGCTTTAAAGTCCTTAAACATTGTAACTATTTTCAAAGCTATATTTGATCTTTTCTCTATAATCTTTAAAAGTTATCACCGATTACTTTAGAAGACAAAAGAGCATAGACTTCTGAAACCTACAGGTATTTTTAACTTAGCAAGAAGAAAAATAACCGTGCAATGCTAATTTCTATTTTAGTTTGAAGTATTTTTATTTATTTAAATCTTACTTTTTTTTAGAAATCTGTCATTATTGTTGGGGCTGGTGCAGCAGGATTAGCAGCAGCCCGACAACTGCATAACTTTGGAATTAAGGTAAGAAACTTTACAGTACGTTACTTAAAAAAATCATATTTCTTCTGCTTTAGAAGTTTTCTTCATCAAAATGAAAACAATTGCTTTCTTGTTACAAACATTTATGTATGGGGCATCCTAATTAACTTTTAAAATCTGGGGTTTTACTGAGGAAATCTGCTGTTTAAAAACAGTGTTTATTTGTACCTAAAATCCAACAATGATGTTTAAGGATGATGTTTTAAGGAATTGAATGAGCATCTGACTTTCCAGATTTATACATTTATGTGGTTTTATGCATATATTTATATGAATCCTGAATCCTATAGGCCCATTATCTCATTCTTTGGTTGCCAAATAGCAAATTGCAGTACAGCCTTTCTTTACATCAAGTCCTGTGGAAAGCTATCCTGCAGTATAATACATAAATATCAATGGTCATGACCTTTTTTTTTTTT